ATTTTTCACCAAAACCTCATAAGAACAACATGCTGATTCTAGAAATGGTTTTATGGTTGATGAGGAAATTAGAGCAAGGGAGCAGCCCCATGGGCATGGGGATTTACAGTGGATGCCGCAGAGCTCATCACAGCAAGGACAGCTTTTAATAGGAAAAAGAAGAGAAAAATCCAAGTGCTCTTTCCACCCCTGCACAAGGAGAGGTCCAAAAGGCTAGCTTATAGCCCACCCATGGTCACCCATGCGCGCTGCTGGTACCAGTTTAGCACTGGTCCTACAGAGTCATCAGCAAGGCCAAAAATGAACAAAAATGCTGCAGGAGTTTCCCTGCCTGTCTCTCTCTCCATCACTGTATCAGGCCTGGGGAAAACAGAGACAGCATCAGGCTTCACGTGGGATTTCTCAGCAGGGTTCCTCTCTCATCTCAGATCTGAGAGACTGCGGTGATTTGTGTCTTTGAATATGTTTTCAGTTCATTTTCCTTTAATGATGCTGAAGAAAGGGGTGTCAACACAAAGGAAGATGTACCTGTCACTCCACACCGCTCTGGTTTCTAGCAGCAATCAGGCTGCTGCTTGGAGCTGACTAGAAAAAACACTGTAGTTGGTTTTGTTGTTGTTTTTCTGAGGAAGGCAAAAAATGCCAGCACTGATAACTGATTGACTCAGAGCATACAAAGCCACGAAGAAAAAAAATGTACCCAAGGGTTTTCCTCAAAAACCTGAAACCTTCCAGATGTCACCGTGATGCTTCAGACTGCCTCCTCGTGCATGGCCATACCCTGTGTCCCAGGGACCGCAGTGGCTTGGACCTGGAGATGAGCACCCTCTCCCCTCCTTAGGGGTTCTTGTGGGAGTCTCTGGCTGCAGTATCCTGTGGGAAACGCCCGTTGGGGGAAGAGCTCATAAAGTATGTTCTAGGCAAGAGGTACCCAGCTTCAGTCTCCAAGAGTCACAAAGTGGCTGAGGCTGAGGTGCCTCTGGAGAACATCTAGTCCAGCCATGCTCAGAGGAGGGTCAGTTGCTGTGGGTTGCTCAGAGCCACGTCCAGTTGGATTTTGAGTATCTCCAAGGATGGAGACCCTGCAACCTCCGAGCAACCTGTGCCAGTGTTTGGTCACCCTCACCGTAGAGAAGTCAGTGATGATAGCAACACTTCCAAACAAAAAAAGTTAATTATTAACCTCTTCAGGTTTTAGATTTTTTGGGGAATTCTTTGTTGTTGTTTGGGTTTTTTTTTTTTGGTTGTTGTTTTTTAAGGAAAAGAAAGAAATGCAACTATTTTCATAAAAAGAAACCATTCTTTTTAAAGGTCACCCAGTTTTTCCTCAACAAACTCTCCACATGGACACTTTGGGAATAATCCCACTACTTCTGTCTTCATATCAGAGCAGCACCTGCCTGCGGATTGCGTTGTACTGTTGACAGAAGGGTTGGTGATACTGTTGGCAATTATTAACATCATTTATTTAGCACCTGGCCAATGCAATCGGGCTCTTTGTGCTAGGCACTGCCCAAACAAACTGGAAGGAAGACAACCTGTTCCCAAAGAAGGTGTTATTTACCTCCTAAACAGTAGACTGCAAAAAAAGTGGTTGGAGGGAAGCAAGGACACCGAAGTTTCTGTGCTAATCTCTGGACTTCAGCACCATTGCTTCCCTCATTGCAACCATACATGGGAGAAGAGCGAGATCCTGGTCACACTACCCAAGAGCATTAGCCAGTCAAATGGACGGAGATGTCCTGTAAGTGTGACATTTTCTGGAGACATATGAAATCACTCTGGTGCCTGTTCGGTGCTATATTAAATTTTCAAAAGCTGCACTTAACAATTAATACATATTTTAGAAGGACACACTTTTTTAAAAGCCTGAGAAATAGTAATTTACATTTTTCAGTTCTGGTATTTTTCAGTCAGTAAATTATCTCAAGAGGAAAAGAAGCAAATGCCTGTTATTCCTTCTATTTGAAAAATGCCTTTTCGTTGAAAGGACGTATTTTCAGGTCTGCAAACAAGATCAGTAGGGGATTTCTTTTCCCGATACTGCTTCCCAAGTAGAAGAAAGGAATAAAAACTTTGGTTTCACCAGAAGAAGAAAATGAGGAAAAAAGTCCTGGACACTCTTCAAAACTCTGACACCTGTTAAGGTGTCAGGTGTCAGAGTTTTGAAGGGTGTCCAGGGCTTTCAGGGCAGTCCAGCACTTGCCCTTCTGAACTCCTCCACTGAGAAGAATGCCTGGGAAAAGTAAGAAAGGGAGTGAAGTAGCAGAATCAAGCATATAGCACATGAAAATCATGTATTTGGGGATTTTAAAGAAAATATAAGATATCCATCTAGGAGGGCATGCCTGGGTATGCCATCCTCAAAGCAAAGCGTGGAGGTCTGGAAAATTCTTCTAGCTGCACATTTCTGGCATGTGTGTGACACAGTTTATTCATATGCTCAAACTGAGCATTTTGCCATGCCAAATCTCAGAGATCACTTTGGTCAGAACCATCCCGTGTGTCTCTGAGCATGGTCTTTGTCCATGGTTTTCCACCTGGCTCAGCTCACTTGGCTGTGAAGTGGCCAGGGGATGAGCTCAGCTGAAGGAGAACTACTCTCGCACAATGCCCATCTCCTTCCTCTTTCTATGAAACTGCTTTAACTTCAGAAAGTCAGCAAACTATGTTAGTTTATGCCAGGTGGTATAACTATATATGTTATAATCACAGGTTGACTGAAACTAGGAAAATATATTAATATTCATAAACTGAAGTCAACTAGAAGAAAGCATCAACAGCTTTCAGTACATTTATTTCAGTTTTTTCTTTTCTTTTTCTTCCTATCCTCCATACCTGATGTTAGGTTGCTAGTTATTCCAGAGATTTGAGAGGTATTTATGTGTATTTACCCAGTTTTGGTGATTTTTTTTAATACTTGCATGCTTTAGTCGTGAGCAGTTTGAGGTTCTGGTGCGGCAAGGAGTTGGTGGTGTGCTTGCCTGTTACGTGAAGTTTTCCTTTACATTGGCCTTTTCCACCTAGTTAGACAGCATCCCGTTTTGGAGTGACTTCTTTTTGCAAGTACTTTGAAGTACTTCTTTTTGCAAGACTAAGCAAAGGAAACTTGAACAGGCTTCTCAGGTCTCACAAAGGCAAAACTCCCATTAGTGGCAAGGAAGAAACTGCTTTGCTTGAGCAAAACCACGGTGCTAAGGACACTGGTGCCAACTTTCACTACCAGCCAGGCAGGCGTTTTGGAGGGCTGTGGTGGAGACGTTGCCTCCTGGCTCCCTGGCATGCCAAGCAGTGCCAGCCTGCCCCTGCAGCTGGGTGTACCCCCACTGGAAATGCTCAGCGTTGCCCTTTGCCCAACGGCCATCAGAACCCAGCGTCGGTGCCCTTTACGGTAGGGCAGCCGGCAGCAGCCCCGGTGCTTGCTGCAGGCAGAAGGCATCATCTCACGTACTGAGGATTTGGAGCCGTGGAGGTTTCTCGCATGGTTTGGAAGCAGGAGCTGGTATCCACCAAGACATGGTCATATAAATCCAGCCTCAGCATCGAAGACGTGCTCCCACAGGGAGCAACAGGAAACTTCTTACAGTCTTGTTTGCAACACAGCTGCTGTTTCTGGTTATGATTTCAGATTCGGGCAGCAGTGGAGGAACCAGTCCACGTTGGAGGGCAGCATCTTATTCCTTCCCAAGGAGGACAGGCAGGGCTGAGCATGCAGCCATTGCTTTGGCACAGGCACCTCTCTGATGCTCTGTGTTTGCAAACCATATGTTACATCCCAGCTTTCTCTCTCCTGTTTACTTCTATCTATTTCCCCACGTGCCATCAGCCCTGAAGCTCCTTTTTCTCTTCTGGTCTCTGTTGGTGAGCAGACTGTAATTCCTAGGTCATCTTCAAAGGAGGTGCAGAGCAGTAAAAGCCCAAGCCCTGGGGTGATGCTGGAAGCTGATGCTTCAGCAAAGCCTGGAGAAGCCTTGCCTTTCAAGGGAGCACTCAAAATGTTCTCTGAAACACAAAACCGTTTAGCAGGTTACGACACAGTTATTCCCTTGACCCATGAAGTAAAGCACATGTAAATTTGTAGTGTAGGGGAGGCATCCAGTTTTGTCATGGGTTTACATACTGCCTTTTTGTTATTGCACTTCTGGATGGCAGCAGTCAGCTGCAGGTCTGGGCTCTGCAGGTTGTGGCCTACTGAAGAAAAACTCAGAGAGGATCGGGCATCTTTGGTGTAAACTGGCCAGCGGAGGCTCGCTCTCTTGAACGCAGAAAGCACCAAATAGCACGAAACAATTTCAGTCCATGTATCTTCTCTCCATCAACATGTAGCCCAAAAGCACTTTGATTTTTCCTTCCTACCCACATCCCTGTTTCTCTGCCACCTCTTCTGAGCTTTTCAACTATGGTATTTTTGCTAGCTAACATGAATACTGAGAGATTCCCATACCTCAGCTAGATAGCTTAAAACTGTATGATTTTTATATTCCACTAGAATACATGGTGTAAAACGCCACCAAAATGCAAGTACCCTCAAAATAAACTTTCACCTACATGCAAAGCAATAAGGGTCTATTAGAGATTGTAATAACCATATAAAATCATTTTGACCAGTGTCATATCAAGGTGGCTTCACTGGTATCCTGCAACAGTCTCCGGACCATTCCAGCAAGATTTAATTTAATCCATGCTGCAATTAGTGTTTTCTTTGGAACTGCAGTGTTCTCAGAAATATGTTGACCTTCCAGCCCATATTTACTAAGTAGATGCCAACTAGGCCTGGGTTCAGTGATGTTTACAAGGCCAGTGTTACAGAAACAGCAAAAAAACATACACAAACAAGAGTAGTTCTCACTGGCAGTTCAAAAATGCTTGCACAGGGCCATGGGGTGTTTGTCTCAGATTCAGAGACTGTTGCTGACTCAGTCTCTCTCATCTTTCAGTAAAACTATACTGTAGAAGAACAAAAATGATATTTTAATTTTTTTTATGTTCTTTCCAAGCAGCTCCAAGACCCAGAGGAAGAGCTCTCAGGATGCCAGAGCCAGCGAAGTCCACCTCTGCGCCCAAAAAGGGCTCCAAGAAAGCCGTGACGAAGACTCAGAAGAAGGGTGATAAGAAGCGACACAAGAGCAGGAAAGAGAGCTATTCCATCTACGTCTACAAGGTGCTGAAGCAGGTCCACCCCGACACCGGCATCTCCTCCAAGGCCATGGGCATCATGAACTCCTTTGTCAACGACATCTTTGAGCGCATCGCTGGAGAAGCCTCCCGCCTGGCCCATTACAACAAGCGCTCCACCATCACCTCCCGGGAGATTCAGACGGCCGTGCGCCTGCTGCTCCCGGGAGAGCTGGCCAAGCACGCCGTCTCAGAGGGCACCAAGGCCGTCACCAAGTACACGAGCTCCAAGTAGCCGGACGTCACCTCTCCAATGGGACCATCCAGCATCGGACCCTCCGCGCAAGCACAGGTAGGCAGCCACGGTCTGGATAAACATCACAGCTATTATCCACAGCAATTTACAGCCTTGGGATGGGCATGAGAAGCTGCCTGGTGGAAAAGGAGATGGTGATCTGGATGTCGGCTGGTTTTCATAGTCTGTTCAGGATGTGCAGCGGGTTTGGCAAGGCTGGTGGAGAAGGCCCCTGCTTTCACATCTCATCCAAAGGACTGACCGACTGTAGTATATCCAAACTCTCCTCTGTGCTTGGCAAACATGCATGTTTGGCGCTGGCGGGAGACTGACAGCGGCAACACAGAGACACCGTCTCTGAGGTCTTCCTGTTTGTCTGCTTTCTCACAGTCATCCAAGACAGGCACTGAGGAGTCAAGCGCTGGTACCCTCTCCCTCATAGCCCAGATCTGTCCCGGTGTACAGTGGCACAGCCCACCCTGTGCTGGCAGAAGTGGCATCAACAGCTACCAAGCATGGGCTGTAGAGTAAAATCCATATTGATTCAACAGCTATCTGTGCTTGACAGCCTGTTTTAAAGAGCAAGCCTGGCAGGCAAGCAGATGCCCATGATGATACCAAGCACCATTCCTCCTCACCACTCCCAATGGATGAGCCATCGAACAGGCTGAAGGTGCCGGCGCTGGAGCTGCCCACTGCCTCCCACCTTGTACCAAGGCAGACGGACAGACAAGGCGGGATGTTGGGGCTGCGCCGCTGCCTTCCCTGGTTGCTGCTTTGACTGCTTTAGGACTTGCTTCGTTGCGCAAGACATTGCTAATTCTGCTGCTTTTCAGAGACTTTTCCTGTCTCAATGCTGCCCGGGCATTCCCTTCCACCATAAGCGTGGGCAAGATGGGGTGGTGCCTATGGGGGTTCCCTCTCCTGGAAGCGCTAGGGTGGTGCAGGACAAACAGGACAGAGGTGTTGGGAGAGGACTGAGGATTTGAGAAGGCACCTGGAATGAGAGCAGAGGTGGTTAATGCAGACTAGGGGACAGGCACGCTCCCCACATACATCACTGTGGGCAGCTCACCTGGCCCTGCTTTCCCTGCTTTATTCACTCGTTAGAAAGCAAAAGCAAAAACTGGGGCTGGTTGGATATAGAGACACTCACCTGCACTCCGGTGATATTTTAAAGGTTAATTAAATTTAAACTATTTCAGATACTCCCCACGTCTTCTCAAAGTCCACAGTAAGGTAAGCAATAATAAAATCCTGATAAAAGCCATAGAGATTAGTAGAGGAACGTCTTGGTTACAGGTTTATCTTGCCCAAACTGCTGGATAGCAGAAGAGCATGTGTAGAACTGGTGTGAAGCTGAAGCTTCCTACTCAAAACACAAAATTAGCTAACATTTTTTTTTTTTTTAAATCAAAATCTCTGGTAGGCAGTAGCGCTCAGATAAAAAATATTCATGTGTAAAATAACAACTGCTTTCTGCAGCTTATTCTGTAAATAAAAAGGACGGCAAAGACACAGGATCCAAAACTAAGTGCAGGTTATCCCCAAGCTCCAAGATCTTGCTTTTAATTGAAAGGTAAATTCATACCTCAAAATTGCAGCCTTGCAGTACATCTCTCACTTTCCCCTATGTTTATCTCTATCCTATTTCTTTACACATGGAGATTGATGGGGACCCTTGACAAATTTATGTTGCTTTTGGAGCTGCAGGACTCTTGTCTTGTTTTTATAAGTGTTGCAGTTATTTTCTAGTTGATCTGAGGGAAGGACTGCATAGACCTGCTCAGCCAAGAGCACCTTCGAAACCCGACAGCAGCGTGGGGTCTCGTGGTCTCTGTGCAAGAGCAAAGGTCAAGTTGCTTATGGGCTGCTCCCATCCCCTGCTTCGGGTTTGAACACCCCACACCCGAAAAGGGGCTCGCCTCCCACACTTTTCTCGGTGATAGCACACAGCCATGTTTCATACCCTAATGCCAGCAGGCATCCCTAGCAGTATCTTTCAGAAGGAGCAAAATGGGCTCCCCAGTTGTCAGCACCCACAAGGAGCAGCTCCCAGCAGCAGTACCTGTACTTGGTAGCATTGGTAACCTGGATCACTTGGACAGGACACTTTGGAGGTGACAGATTAGCACTTCCTTTTGTTTTCCAATCACATAGTCAGATACCAAAGATGAAAATGTACCTGCGGTGGGCCTAGAGCCACTGTCCCTGGCCCCTCTCCCACCAGAAGTCAGACAGTGGATGGTGCAGAAGGGGAGTGAAGGGCTGGCTGGCAGCACTGGAGCTTTCTCCTCCCGTCCCTGTGAGCTGTGGGTCAGAATTCATCCCCCTGGGGAGTCCTCCTGAAGGTAGAAATTCAAAGTGGAATAAATCCACTCCAGTTCAAGCAGTGTGTGTGAGCCAGGACACACATCTCCCAGGATTACCCAGCATAGCCTCGAAATCCTCTCTTTTGAGCAGAGCAGAGACCTGCTTCAGTCTCTGCAGGCTGAAAGAAGTCAGGAAAATAAAATGAGGTGTTGGCCCTCCAAGGTCTCCTGGGCAGCTCAGAGAGCTGGGGACAAGGCTGGGCGCTCGGATGAGAACTGCTGGCCACATACACATACATACACAGTACTGATCTCATTTTCTTCTGCCACTGTTGCCACTCTCCATTTTTGATCGTTTCAGTGACAGGAGAAATGGCAATTTAAGTCTATAAAAATACTTGAAGGCTTAAAGAGGGTTTTTATATTGTCTAAAACCAAGTGACTGAGATTGGTCATGTCCATCCATTTATAGTTTAGGCTGTCGTTTCACACATCATTTGCTCTTCACCCACCCTTTGTATCATTTCTTTACTTACCCCCGACAGTGTGGAGCACAGAATTGAGGAACTGATCCAGGTTAAAATGAACCTTTTTTTTTTTCTTTTCTTGCCAGCTTTGTTTTAACCCAGTTCTAGTGGCTGCTCTGATCTGTGACTGTCATACAGACCCTTGTGCCAGCCAAGGGAAGGGCTGATCCAGAAAAGACAAGTCTGGCATAAGCTAGGTCTGCCACCGAAAGCAATTGGGAGATTAATGGCCTTTGTGTCAAAGAAAAATGAAGAAAGGAAATCTTTGTCTCCTGCAGTGGCCCAGTTAGCAGCAAAGGTGTGGCTTCTAAATACAGTGCTATGGGTGTTACCCTTGCTGTGTCCCACAGGCAGTTTCTGTAACAGTCCTGATGCTGGAAATCAGATGCATCCCATTTCTGCAGATCCCAGAGGACACCCATGTTACACAAAGGAGAAGGAGCAGATTAGGAAGCGGACTTGGCTCTCATGCAGCCACCCAGCTGTAGTGGTACAGCAGGCAAACAGTGTGCAAGGCAGCCTGCCCTTCCCACAGCTGCCTGCCGCTGTACAGGAGCACGCTCACAGCGGGTTAACAGGAATTATTTTGACTCTGCTGAGCTTGGACTGAGCCTTAATAGTAGAGGCAATAGAAAATGGTCTAAAATTTCAAGCATTGATTGTCCACTCAATAATCTGATCTGTGACGTATTCCATAGTTCCCTGGTAAGGGGATTTGCTTCAGAAGGAGTTCTGCTCTTCAGGATCTGTGCTTTTAAAAAATATGTATTTCCAGCTCTGGAACTGATAAAATGTTTTAAAAGTGAAGGTAGTACACCAAGATAATACACCAAGCCCCACTGTCCCTACCTGATTCTTACTACAATCCTAGAAGCATCTCTAGGCTATTACCTATGTTTTGCCAATTAAAAAAAAAAAAAAAAAAAAAAATCAACTGCAGATTGAAAGTTGGAAAAGGAAGCTGAAAAAGAGTAATACAGCTTTGACATTAACCTCAAAGTAACCCCATGGACATCGCTGCACTGAGTTACTTGTTTTAGTGTACAATTTAAGAGAAAAAATTAGCTATTATAGATCTACTCCTGATTTCCTACCCTGCTTCCTAGTGGGGCTTAAAGTCCATCTGCCCTTCAAAGCAGAGCTTAACCTACAGAAGAACCGAGCGGCACATGCACAGAGGTTTGCTCCTGCTCAGGACAGACAGGTCTTTAGTCAAGCACAGAGAAAATGAGTAAAAACAAGCGTGGAGGGCGAGTGCCTGTCCCGGACACTCTGTGTGTCCTAGGAAGGGATGCCTGCCCAGGGGAGCTGCGTGGCTGTGTGCCCTTCTGCCCTGGTGACAGGCAGCCGTGAGGAGGTAGCGAGGTAGCCCCAAGGCCTGGCCCCAAGTTAAGCTTGGCATGGCCTCTGCACAGCCCTGAGCGTTTGTCCCATCATAGCATTTCCTGACGGTTTACATCCAGACCAAATTGTTTACAGAGAAAGGAAGAATGTCAACTAAATAATAAAAATCATTTGCTGCCAGAATTTCAAAGACTTCCTCAGGACCAGCACCTGGGGAGCGATCTCTCATGCTTGCTCTCCATGCATAGTATCTTGTGGGCTTATGTACAGAGTTTTCCTGACAGTAAGTGTTACATCAAATATGATCTATGTTATATTACTGCTGATTTATGATCTATCTTATTGCTAATTACCTGTTTTCTGTTAAATGTATAAATAAAATGTAAATGCCAACCTGTTGAAAGTCAGATGAGACCCAGCTATCAGCATGTCTTTGCTTCTGCTGTGTCACTGGGGCCCCCCCAAACCCTACATTTCTCTTTCTCCATCATATTTCCTCCAGACCCGGGGTGACGGCAGCCACCCTTCCAGCAGAAATGGAGCCCACCTGGTCCTGTCACAGGGTCAGTCAAAACCAGAGCAGCCTCACACCAAGGAGATGTCACAGGCTGCCACTGTGAGTCCTCACAGGGTGTCACTCACCCCAAAGATAGGTGCAACATGAGCACGTGTGTGTTTTCAAGCCCTTCCAGTGAGCTTGCCCTGAGCAGACACAAGCCTGCAACTTGTCCTTGCCACACTCCTGCTTGGGGTTTACTCTGCCTGGCACCTATCACTTAATTCCCAAGGGGCAACACTTTTGGCTTGCACAGAATGAAGCACTGTGAGATTCTGTGGTTGGAAAAGTGGTTTACGCACATTCAGAATTTCTGTTTATCTGAGTTAACAATTGCTGCCACTAGAAACATCTTTCGTTGGACTATGAGTTTATAGGCAACAAACATGGAGTAAGATGTAGCATCTCAAAACCCCGGGAAGAAAAAGATCTTCCTTTTAAGGAATGATTGGTAAATATACTCAAGTGAAACACTTAACTGCTGGACATCAGCATCATAATGCACTCACTGAAGAGGGAAATGCATGTGCCGTGCCAGGCACTGTGTGCTGGAGAAACAAGCTAAGACTTCAGGTATGGCATGTAACAGAAATCAGAGCTAAAAAGATACAGTCTCTCTAAAGACAGATTCATAAGCTTAACATAATTGGGGAAAATCAGTATTTGGAGAAAAAAACCCTTATAACTAACTGACCTGAAATATTTTTTCCCAAAGAAATAAAGTGTTACTTCTAATGCCAATTTCCATTTTGATACCCCTTTGCAGAGCAGCACCCACAATGCGCTTTCCTAACAGAGCTGACACCTGGGTCTCAGGAAGACCCAAACCAGGTTACAAAAGGTAGAGTATAACCTATGGTCATCCTTCTCCAGGATGTTGGGAGATAACTAACTTGGTTTTAGTTATTCAGTTATTATTTAGTTATTATTGAACAATTATTCAAAGACCATCAGTTAGACTTTGGGTGTCACATGGCTAAGGCTGTTGGCAGAACCAGACAGAAGAACTCAGGGGCATCAAAAGAAACTATGAGAGAATGAGTTTTAAAATAAGTTAAGAGGAGTAGCACTTCATACAGCAAGCAGTCTACCTGTTGAACCCTTTGCGAACAGACGTTGGAGCTGCTAGAATTTGGTTCAAGGACAAATTAACAGGAGAGAAATCCATTCAGAGTTGCTAAACACATATAAACTGTGCTGAAAATTACTAGAGGATGGAAGAATATGAAGAAGAAGCTATTGTTTGTGTCTGCCCTATTCCTACAGCCTTTCTTGCCTATTCTGTCATGGAAACAAGATTTTGGGTTGGAAGCACCATAGGACCAATCCAGGATGTCTTCATAAACTCATGTAGTGTCTGCCTTGTAGTACACATGGACTGTGAAGAGTTTCAGAGAGTTTCCTTAGGCCTCTGAAGCTTAGAAGAAAGCATAAAAGAAAGCTTTTTATCTTCCTTTCCTACGTGGCTCCTGCACTTGCATTGATCGTTATGTGGATTGTGTTAGCCTGGCTTGCAGGAAAGATGTAAGAGATGTTTTGTTTCTAAAATAGTTAGAGTTAATAAACACAGATGGTGTGAGAAAGAGAGAGGAATGGAGCTTCTGCTTTCTCATATAAAGGAAAGCTGTTCTCAAAAACATTTCTCATTTTCTCCCGTGAAGCAGCTGATTTAAAAAAAAAAAAATATACATAATTTCCTGCTTTTTAATGTCCATATTGCTAATTCCCCCCCCCCCCCAAAAAAAGTCTCTTACAGGATTTCCTACAGAATTCATTCAGAAAAAATTCTTACATATTTAACTGTCTTGTAAAGACAGGAGATTGTAATAGTAATAGAAATGGGAAGATTGTTTAAGAATGGGGAAGAAATGGCATTGGCTGTGTGTGAGGCACCAGAAGGGATCAAAGGCAGGAGACTAGAAGTGAATGGTGTTAGAGTGTCAGGTACTGATGGGACCTCAGTGAGGAGCCCACCAAGATGCCAGCACACACACGGCGTGCGGCTGCCCAGGACACAGTCAGGACACCAAGGGCAGGGAGTAAATCCTGGTAACTCCCAGAGGTGGATCAGGATGGACAGTGTAGTTGCTGCCAGCAGCTGAGGGGTGCAAACGGCACATCCAGTCACCAATCTAAGAGGAACCCAGGAAATTTGATGAGGACGTGATGGCACCATCCCTCATCCTCAAAGTCATTGTGAAGATGGACACATATCCTGGTGTCTGCAGGCTGGTCAGGCGGCTGGGATACACTCACCTCATGGGTATGTGGGTACAAGAACATGAATGTGACTGAGTCAAATCGGTACTACTTTAAAATAAATTCAACTGCCTATAAGGTGATAAAGTCATATTCCTATAGGGACTTGCGATGGGTTGCTACATTGTGGCTGCTCATTGATTATTCATGTACATCCAGCCTCAGGGCAGGAGGAGTGTCTCACCTGCACACCCCTCCAATCTGTTGCCCATTGAACCTCCTCCTGCAGGTGTGGAGAATATTCTTTATACAAAATACATCTGTATTTGCCAACACTGGAAAAATCATCCAGCATGACTTTTTAAATAAACCAGGAGATGCTTCTGACCTAACCTGCCCCACAGGCTAGGACACGTCCCGACGAATAACAGGCTGCCTCTGAAAAACATAGCTCCAGATGGGAGAGCCATTGAGTGCTGTCGATACAAGCACTCAGTCTCCTCTCTTCGCCTGAGTCAGGGAAGACCAACAAAAGGAGGGAATGTAAGTGCACCACATCCAATTTCACTAAAGTGAAGGAAATGTGAGAGTGCTATTGCCATTTCCCATCATCTTTTTGTAGGCTTTCAGTTTCTTTAGAGGTCTGCAATATTCAAGGGCTCCCAGGAAGGCTGGTCTTGCAGGCACTGATGGAAACAGGCTATTATTGAACTGCTCCATCTCAATAAAACCTGCCCCTGCAGGAAGCTTTCTGTGGCATGGCTTAGTTCTAGCAAAGTGGGAAGCCTGTGATGGCAAGGGCTGCCTGAGCATGTTGAAGGGCAGATGGTTGCTTTTGTTGAGAGGTTACTTTTTTGGGATGAACATTTATGCCACAGCTACTTCCTCCTGTCATCAAGGTAATAAAAAGTCGTATCTCAGTGCTGACTTTAGAGATGCAGCATCCTCCCCTCTCTTCCACCAACACCCTGCAATGCCACATCCATGTGAACTCATGCTAAGTCCATACTGCTCCCATACTGACTTGCACTCTGGCCCAGGTCTAGAGCAAACCAACTGCAGCATTAAGTGGAAAATTCAGTGGGAGAGCAAAAGAAGAAAATTCAAATTCCTCCCCCAGCCCCTTTTGCAGTTTGTGTTATAGTGAAAGGACCCAGACACCTCTTGCCACAGTTGATCTCAGCTAACAAAAGCTGTCTCTGTGGGGTCCACCAGCAGCCCCTGGCCACTTAGCAGGACAGAGCCAGAGCTCTTTTTAGCCCAGATGATTCAGCACAAAGAGGCCTTTATAGCTCAGCAGCAGGCATCTCGTGCCTCTTCTCATCACGCCTCTTCTCAAGTTCTAAATACAAGGGGACAAAAGTTCTTACAAACCCCTGATTCTGTCAATTCCCTCAACATACGCCTGTAATGCTGTTTCTGGCATTTAAGTATCTTTAAATAGAAAAGCTAGAGCTCTTAGGAATCATGGGACACCACACGCACCATCTCTCTTTCAGAGCCAGCATCTTCCCTGGCGTAAGTTAATCACCACTTGTGATATTCTGTGTTTGTAGGGAAGGATACTGAACAACACTGAACAGCAGCACAAGAAAGTTCGATGCAAGCAGCTGCATGCCATGAAGGATGAACAGGAGGTCCTCCATGCCAAAGGGTATCACAGCAACCGAGAGCTCAGCCATATTTTAAAGGGATTAGAAGTGCATAGAAGAAGAATTTTAATAACAAAAGACTAAATAGATGCAACTTTGCGAGCAACGGTAGCTCCCAGCTTCATAGGAAAGTTACACTACATACAAAGGAACAGCAGGAAGAAGTCTATCCCACCCTGCCAGCTGCTGTGGGGCTTGCAGCATCCTCAGG